GCTTTTTACCCCCTCGTCCAAGTCGCTGATGAAGATGTTGAACAGTGCGGGCCCGAGGACTGAGCCCTGGGGGACCCCACTGCCCACGTCCCTTCAGGTCGAAAATGTCCCATCCACCACCACTCTCCGGGGGGGCTGATCCAGTCCCTGCTCAGGAAAATGGAGGCAAAGAAGTCGTTAAATATGTTGGCTTTGTCATCTGGTGTGACGACCATATTTCCTAGCCTGTCTTGCAGGGGCCCCACATTACCTGGTACCTTCTTTCTGCCCCCTATGTATTTAAAAAAGGCCTTCTTGTTGTCCTTGATCTGGGTTGCTCGTCCCAGTCCCATCTCCACCTTGGCCTTCCTGACCCCCCCTGCATTATATGAGCTTCTCTGAGGTTCGTTTCTCTACTGTCTCTACTGAAAAGTAATTATTCCTACAATTAGTGAATCATCCCAAGCCCTCTTCCTAGCTGGTGCATGTGTGTGTGCACGCGCACGTACACACACACACACACACACACACACACGAATGTCTGGCTGCTGGCTGTCCCTGAATGGCATTTTATTCAGGGCAACCTTTCAAGTGTTGGTTCAATGGGTACAGATAGGAAAGCACTCATTCAGCTTTGGAAAAAAAAATCCTAATGCAATTTAGCTAGAAAAGAGCATAATTGACCATTTTTGTGCCAATCAGGTAAGGGGTTGTCTTGCATTTCCCTGTGCCAGACAAACACAAGCAAAGCTTTGCAAGCACACCTCCTAGGATTCGATCCCTAAATATCAACAGCAGAAACGGCCGGCTGTCTTTGTTACCCAACCTTGATCAAAGAGCTATTGGGTATCACTTGGTCTTTGGTATAATGAGATGGGGTTGGTTTGTTTCCGACCTGTGTGATCTGATGTGGGTGTAAATCTAGGTGAGCACCGAAGAAGCTGAATTGGGCAGTGGACAGTAAAATCTAGCCTGTTACCTCCTGCCGTGATCCGGAGGAAGACTGCAGGGACAGCCTGGGGTGCCTGGGATAGTCTGGGATAGCTGTCCACATGGCCAAAAAGCCCCCCTTCGGTACTCCAGCAAGCAGAGAGACCCAAGAAAGAAGACCAGGGGGAAAGCAGACTGAACCCGCCCGGTTGTCCCTCCTGTCTGCCTTTGAAGTGGGCGATTTCTGTCACAGTCACCCTTCTACTGCCACTGCGTGGGCTCTACCCATTTTACAGATACAGAGAGGAGCTGGGTTTGCAGAGCAGCTCATCTGATATCGCTGGCCCACAGGAAATCCACTGAGCAATTGAGTTCCCCTCCAAACCTTCAAAAATCAATGGCGAAGAAGACCTCAGTGTGCCCTCGCACTCCTATTACCTCCACTGGGACCTCTCCTAGGGGGGAAGGAGACCTGCAGACTGGGGGGGGAACGTGCTGGTGAACACAAACTCCAACACCTCTGTGCGGGGTCGCCAAGGCTTGTGAGCACCTCTGATCCTCGCTCTCACAAGAGGGTGGAGAGCGGGTGCAGAACAGGCTCTCCCATCGTGTATCGCACTGTCCCCGCAGAGAGATCGAAGGGCGTCGTGCTTTATTGCTGTGGGCCGTTAACACCAAGTCCCTGCTCCCCTGGTCTGCCTGGGGTGGGGAGCTGCACATCAGAAGAGTGCCAGGAAAGTCCCGCTGGCAGGCGGCATCCCTGTACAGGACTGTATTGACAACGGCACCATGCCACCCACAAATCGGCAAGGATTGAAACTGGGGGCTGGATCGTGGCAGTCAAAAAGCCAAGAGAATGAGTGAGCATCTGAGCACATGGCGATAATGCAATCCAGGCACATAACAGCCACGACGGCAACAACACCACCAACAAAGATCCCCTTAAATAAACTCTGAATTAAGGGTAGCAGATGTTCAATCAAGCTAAATATTTTAACTCTTTCCCATGAAGTCAGCTCCACAACAGCAATTTGTAAATTGCTATAATTAACCGCCATCCGCAATATGTTTCCGTGCGGGGGAAAGGTACTTTCTCCCGAGCAGCCGGGTGCACCCGCGGCAAACAAAGAGGCAGCTGATTTGTCTGGAGGGGCCAGGGTTTGCCCTGGAGGCGATGCTGAGGGGCACCGTCCAGCGAGAGGGGAAGGACGATCAAGCTGCAAGAGGGTTTATGGCCAGGTACTCCCAAGCCTTATCCAGAAACAATACAAAGGCTTCAAGGGGATTTCTGCTGTGCCATAAATCAGTGGGGTCAGTCCCCTTTTTGAGAGTGGCTCTGGCCTCCAAGGGGGCAACTCTCACCCTGGAGGTTTTCCTTACTGCTCCACTAAGTGGGAATTAGAGAATCGGACCGACTTTGGCAGGGTGCACAGAGGCCCCTACGGGCAGTTCGCATCCGTGGGATGGTGGGACCCTGGGGCCAGAAGGTGTGCAGGAAGCACGGAGGGTGCTTTTGCCTGGATCGATTGTCCAGGGTGGTTGAAGACAACAGGGGCAAAGGTTGCAGGGTCGTTTTCTTCCTCAAAGGCTATTTCAGCTCTGCGCAGGAGAGGCTGGACTTTGCATCCCAATGGGTGGGATGGTGATCGGCCAGGTGGTGAGCAAAGGAAAAGGTGGGAGCAGCCAGCTTCGGCCATCGCTCTGCCAGCCGGGCCTCCTAGAGCTGGGCAGAGCGTTTTCCTCTGGAGACTTGCTGCAAAGCAGAGGGCTGAGTTCCCCTTCTCCACCCATTCCCAGTTGAAACAGAAAATACAGGGCTGGAAGTGGCCTTAGGGGCCCATCTAGTCCTGCCCTAATGCTTTCTGGACAGACATTCGTCTACCCTGCTCTTGAAGACCTCCAGTGCTAAGGGTCTCCTCACTCCCTGGAGGACCAGCGCTGAACTACCCTCCCAGGCAGAAAGTGCTCTTTGAAGTTTTGGTTGGATATTAGGAAGGATTTTCTCACCAGGAGGGTAGTAAAACACTGGAACAGGTTGCCCAAAGAGGTAGTGGACTCTCCATCCTTGGAGGTTTTCAAGACCCAGCTAGACAAAACTTTGGCTGGGATGATGTAGTTGGGGCTGGTCCTACTTTGAGCAGGGGGTTGGACTAGATGTGACCTCCCGAGGTCCCTCCCAACCCTCCATTTCTATGATTGTATGATATTCAACCCAAATCTCCCATTTAGCAGCTGAGACCTGTTCTTTCTTGCCCCATCCCCAGCAGACGTGGAGAACAGCCATTACCTTTCCCAAAACAACCCATGGAAAGGTGCCCTGTGCATGTTCCCAACCGCGTCCCTGCATGGCTACTGCGTGCCAGCATCCCTCCCTCCTGCCATGGGCTACCGAGGGAGACGGCCTACCTTTGCCTTTCCAGTGGGCGTGGGAAGCAAAGCCAATGTGCCCGCCGTACTTGCGATTGAACTCCGCCATCAGGGCCTTGTAAGGGTTGCGGATGAGCAGGATGGCCGAGTCAAAGGACTCGATTTCCTTCTGGCCGCTCTCGTGGGTTTTGATGCAGATGGTCCTTCCGCTCCGCCAGTGATCTCTCTCGCCTTTGAACCCTTTCCAAGCCAAACAAACAAGAGAGACAAGCCCAGGAGCATAAGTACATGCAACGACCCGAGGAGAGGGAAAGAAGAGAACAACGAGGCAGTGGAGGAGGAGCGGCGTGGGGGCAAATATCAGGCTGCAAAATATTTTGGGAGGAAAACAGCTGGCATGTTAAAATCCACTGGCACGCTCCTTCCAGATGGCAAGAACGCGTACGCTCGCGTCTGGAGATGAGCAAGCCCATCGCATTCACGTCTTGCACAGCACAGCATGGGGAAATGCAAGCAACACGAGGACCAAGTGCTCTGCTGTGGACACCTTGGCTTCAGGCTGGTGGCAGCCAGCAGAGGTTAATGCACAGGTTAACCTAATGCACAGGTTCTCAACCTTTTTCTTCCCCCAGCATGCTATCAGACCTCCACAGCCCACCTGTGCCGCCACAACTGCTTTTCTGCAGACCCAATAGATGAAAAGCTGTATTAAATTGATAGCTATACAATTAAACACACACCTATGGTGCATAATATAAGAAGAAGAGGGTACTGCCGGTACAAAAAATGACAAAATGAATTGCAATTCTTATCAGCAACATAAAATAAATTATCATGACGTTTCACCTGTATGGATAGAATATCACTGTATAAATCTTTCTTTCTGAAGTTTCCATTTTCCCAGTTTTATATATATTTAATGGTTACTTTTGCTTTACTTTGTGTGAGTAGCGGCTGCCTGAGGCAACAGGCGACACATGGCCCATCCTCTCTGTGCAACGCCGCTGGGCCAGGCGGTCAGCAGCCACTGGATGTGGACAGTGGTGGCCTGAGGGTTGCTGGGGCCCTGGGCAAGCGTCATTTGGGGCCCCTTACAGGCTTAATCTTGATGACCTATGTATCATGGATCTTTTAAATATTTTGGGAGGGAATTAGATAACTAATCAAGTGTTAAAATGCAAAGAGAGCCACTTCCTTGCAAAAATGTCCCCCTCCCAAAAATGGTTGCAAAATTTTGGGGGCCCCTAAAGTGTGGGGCCCCAGGTGGTCACTGGTGCTAACCGGCGGGGCAGACTGGGCATGGGGCTCAGTGGCTCTGGCAGACCGGAGGTGCTAGGATGCTGTGTGGGCGCTGGTACAGTACAGCCTGGATTTTCATACCGGGATGGTCTGCCACCCCCTTCGTCCTCAGCTGGTTGCCGAATTAAAGCCAAGCTGCTCAGCTGTCTGCTGTGGGTGGCCTTTCAGAGGTCACCGCTTCTCCCTGCACCTGCTCTTCCCCGGTGATCCTATGCCACTGTCTGCTGTGGCCATGCATGCCTCTGCTACTTTGCAAACCCTCATCGTTCCAGGACTGTGACCCCGTGAAGAATCTCTCTTCTGCTGCATCACCTCGCCGCACGCCATTGCTTTGCCTGGGCACCGCCGTCCACCAGCTGTAAGACTCCTTACGCGGCATTTGCTCCAAACCCTCTTTTCTTGATGACCCAAGCTATGATCTCTGACGCAAACCTGCCTGGACACCCCATCCCTTTCTTTCGAGATGCCAATCGTGGCAATGACCGACCGGCCCCTCTGCGTGAGAAAGAGATGCAGCACGTCTCAATAAAAAAGGGCGAAATTTGGTGGCAGCAGATGATTCAAGCTAGCAGGAGAGATAAGATGGAAGTGGATGTCTGACATCAATTAGAGATGCATAATTTGCTTTCCTCTGTTACGCTGCACAATCTAGGTACATCGTGGCTAATCTACTAGTTGCCTGGATACATCCTTGGCCTTCTCCGATGAGCAGAAAGCCCAGAATAAACATGCAATAGTGTTTGATATTTAGCCAGCAGAACAAAATGTTTCAGATCATTAGTTCGTAGATTCTGGTGGCGTGTGATTTTTTTTTTTATTTCTTTTTTCTTTTTTTAAACACAGCAGGATGAAGAAGTTTAAATACATTCCTCTAATGAACGAACGGGCTCAAGAAGCGCTGCAGGCAGTGGGCAGAGGTGGTGAGAGGTGGGGACCCAGTAGGTACAGCTAAGTGCAGAGCTGCTGCCTGGGAAACTGTGCTGTGTTCATCTCTGTGTTGAATGAGCCTGGCCGGCATCTTGGAGCTGCTCCGTGATCCCTGTACCGAGCTTGCTTCTGTGCATGGCCCCCACTTTCCCACTCCCACCCCAGTCATTGCAGGCCGCGTAGCTGACTCAGCATGGCACTGTAAGCTGGCAGGGGCAGGGAGTGCCTTTTTGCTCTGAGTTTGTACAGCACCTTGCACCAAAGGATACTACTGCAATACATGATGGGAAGAATACTTTTTGTGTTTGGCACTCATTAGATCGTGGGAATTGCCACGGCAGATAAAGGGGGTGGCTTTTGGCCCGTACCTCCTCTCCAGCAGCAGCTGGCACTGAGCCCACTATTGCATGCCTGCAAGGTAAACGTCCCATCCCTGACACCAGAGGGCACGTGCAGGTGTGCTAATTACCCGGCGAGTAGGCTAAGTGACACTCATCAGCACTCATTAGCCCACACAACCATGGCTACGGTGCTTCCGGCTTAGCAGGCAGCATGGCCTGCTTGAAGACACCACTGCTGGGCATGGTAGACCTGGCCTTGGGGATAGCAAGATGAGAAGAACGGGTCTTGTTGTCTGGCTCTGGGGTTTGCATGCTGAGCTAGTGATGGGAGCACTGTGAGTACCCTTGTTGCCAAGAAAGATAATGGCATCCTGGGCTGCACTGGCAGGTGTGTCGCCAGTGGCTCAAGGGAAGTGATTCTTCCCCTCTATTCTGCACTGGAGAGGCCACATCTGGAGTGCTTTGTCTGGTGTTGGGCCCCCTGCTATAGAAAGGATGTGGACACTGTGGCAGAAAGCCACCTTGGTTTCTCCCCAATAATCTCTGCCCTGTGACACTGTGATTTAAATCTCTGTGCTGTGACCATTCAGTTAGGATGGGCCCAGCACACAGGGGACCACACCCTCAGCCTGGCTCTTTAGGGAACTGGAGCTGGCTGCATTCCTGAGGGAGGGGGAAACCTGCTCCCTCTGC